TCTTTCCAGTCACGTCTCTCCCACAAAATGACACCGCAAGACTGGGAAGAAGGAAGCAGGCTCAGGTACCAAGTGGCCAAACAAATGGGAGTTCCCATTCTAAAGCTTCAGCACTTACCTCTGAATGACTGTGAGGCAGGTGAGCACGTACAATACCTGAGCTCATTACCACAAGCAAAGAAGAAAAAGCATAGCAGGAAAGAAGGCAAGGATTGAATTAGCTTTTTTTTTCTTTTATAGTCCATCAATAGCTGTCTTCTAATAAGCATTTCACAGCCCACTAAAAGACTTCCTTAAAAAATAATAAATTCCCATTGTAATTAAATACATTCAAGTTGTTTCTCACTGTATTACTCGGACTTGTGTATTTCTACATGTAAGTATACGTATTACATACATACTTTTCTGCAACAAGCCAGTTAGCCTCCCTAGTCAGTTTGTCAGAAAGGACAGTTCTGAGTGTAGATTTTGTACAAAAAGCATCACTTTCCCTAACCAAGGAGCTCTGCATTGTCATCTTGATCAATTCTTAGTTCTACCTTATATTCTTCCCCCTTTTAGGCTCACCTTTTCCTCCTGCTACCACTACAAATGTATTTTAATATCCTACAGCCAGAAAGCCTTTCCAATTTTTCATTATTTCCCTTTCCCTGAATTGCCAACCATTGTTGATAATCTCTAGGATTTTACTATCTTCCTGCCTTCCAATCTCTGCTATCATGCAACCAATTTGTGAAGTTATAAATACCAAGTTAGAGCAAGCAGGTGAAAAACACAAAGTAGGCAACCTTAGTCATGTTCATGAATGAGAGAAACTGGTACGTAGCAAAGCAGTTAACTGTCATTGTGGATGATGACACGAGTGAATGCAATAACAGCAACAGGTTTGTGAGTATTCATTAGGGAATGGCAGAGCACAAATGAAGTACTTTGAAATGGTGCTTACAGAAGAACAAACTTTCTTTAGAGCAAGATAGAACTATTAATAAGCTTCTTGCTATAAAGCAGTTTTTGAAGCAAATGAGCTTATTGGAGAAAGACTGCAGACATCAAGATTACAAGTTAAAAGCTCCCACACTGGACATTAAGTAAACAAGACGACCAGGAAACCAAAACCACATGGAAGTCAGCCAATGCCAAACACGGAATAGCTAATAATGGGAAGAGAACAGAATATTGTCAAATTCAGAAGCTGGAAACATAAATTAGAACAAACGAAAAAAATACATAGTGGTGAAGTAATATCAGTGAACAGATTAGGAGAAAGATGATATGAAAAGAGCCATATGAGCTACAGCTGTATTTGAAAAACTAGTATCTGCAAGGCAAAATATTTTGGTATCAATGGAAACCAGAACAACTGTTGATGTTATGGTATATGGATCTCAATGCTAGAATATGAAAAAAACTGATTAAAAAATAGCAGAGATGAGATATCTGAGAGGAACATTAAGGGATTCAAAAAAGCAAAACAGAAAAACATCACGACAATACAAAAATCTTCTGTTTCATTGTTGCTGAACGGTAAGAGAAAGAGACTAGCAAAAGCATTGAATTCTGAGCTTATTCTCAGACTGGGCACAGCTTCTACTTGTGCTCGTCTTTTGCTTTTCTTTCTATTGCCCTGCACTATCTTTTCTAGAAGATGGTCATTTCCCTTTCAACTTTCTTCAGAGACTCCAAAGGAATCTCTTCTCCCCTTTCTCTACTTTATACCTCACCTATAGATGATCCAATTTACAAAAGAAGAAATCAACTTTTCTACAAACTTTAGGTTGACAACTCGGATTTTTTTCCTCACGCATCACTGTTTTTCTGACCAAGCTAGTGTCTCAATAGATCTGACACCTCCACATGGGTGTTTAGCCATCAGCTTAAGTTCAGCATCGACCAAACACAACACACCATCCTAAACCCTTCTCTCCATTTCTAGAAGATATCATTTTCTGCCATCATACCCTTAACTGCAGTGTTACTTTTCATTCAGGCAGATGTGAGGGAACTAGATGTGACACAATTTAAAGCCTGAAAATGTTACCTGCATAGCATTTGCAAGATTCCTCCTCTTCCCTCTGTGCACAGAACTGATGCTCCTGTCCAGTTCATCCTTATCACTGTGTTCTGACTATTGCTCTGTCTCCAGCCTTGGCATGTTCCATCTCAATTCACCGTTTTCCTTTTAAAATATAACACTAAAGAACACTTTAGTAGGATGTTCCAAAGACATGACCATTTTTCTGTTTATCCACTTATCTTTCCCTCCACTCCCTAGACAAACTGCTTGTCTTCCCCTTCAAGGCCTTCTTTGGTTTATTTCTGTCTTCATGTTAAATCAAAATATTGACTTTCATTTCACATATCACTCTCGGATTTTTCAGAATTCCTTTGTAATCTCACTCAAAATGCCTGTTATGCATAGAAAAGCATAGATTTTATTCAAAATTCCTCTTGAAGTTTTTGTTGAGAACAGCGATTTGACAACTGGTGTGCTATGACAATTATTTCACAATTCTGACCAGTAATATGCCATTATTTCTTTGCTGTCTTGTTCACGTGATGCCTACATTTTTAGAATGGCCTCAAGAGAGACTTCATCTACCTAAATACTACTGTAATACAAATAATATACAATGGAAAAATATTAAATCTGATACACATAGAAATGGTTCTAAATCAGTGACCACAACGAAGTTGAATTACATATATTTACACACATGCATACATACAATGATCAAGTCATACCAAAATGAAATTGTTATGTACAGCAACATTTGTATTTTTTCTTTAGACACTCCATTACTACATACAATGAAATTCACATAAAATGAGAGAAAGGCATTTGTAGGTGTGCTTTAATTACTACTCGAGCTGTATCTTCAGCAGCACTATTGCAGCATTTTCCAGAACATGACACCTTGTAACAAAGCATCCCTCAAGCATAGCTGGAACACTAGGTTAGTGTTTATGTGCAGCGCAAGTGTCTCCAGGACAGTAACAGGAAAGCTAGAGATAGAGAAACAGTGGATGGGAGGATGCCACCAAGTATGTACTTCACAAGAATACAGAATCAAAACTCATTCTTCTCTCTCAAAAAATACACACATTTAATGTTGGTCTTTTAATTCTAAGAAAAAAGCAATTCCAAAAATACAAACTGAACATCAGAGTCAAGTCAGCCACCATAATAAAATGAAACAATGACATTCACAATAGTTAAGTCTATGGACAGCTTAAGTTTGGCAAATATTTTCTCTGTCCCCCCCCCTTCCCCCCCAAGTCCCCAAGTACATTCCAATATTTATCTTTAAGTGAAGCATTACGAAAAATACTGCTGGTGTTCAGTTAGAATTAAAGGACTTGGATAAAGTGAAACAATAAAGACAGATACAGATGGTGTGAGTAAGGTTACAAAGGCTTTACATTTTGCATTATCCCAAGATATAAACATTCAAAAATTAACATGAAGTTGCTGTGTTATCAAAATATTGCAGCTATAGGCAAGGCAACATTAAATTAATAGCTGAGGGTGTGAGAAAAAAACCACACATTTTAGTGAAGGTAAACAGAAGTGGCAGGGTTTTTTTTTTATTTTTTTTTAAAATAAAATTTAGTTTTTAATTAGCATTTTTTATAAAGCTAATATTCCCCAGCCAGCCATAAACCAAGCACAAGATAAAAAGCTTTCTCTGCTTCCTTTGGCTATAAGGTGACAGAAGAAAAAAATAAAAAAAAAAAATCACCTTTTCAAGATGTTCAAGATGAGCAGAAAAAGTCAAATAATCAAGTAATGGAATAAGTAAGTACTAACCCAGGCAGTACACTTTAAACCACTCTGTCATTTGTAAATGTTACATAATTTTATTTTGGTGGTAAACTGTAAGCATGTAAGAAAACTAACCTTATGCAGTACAGTGAATAACCACCAAAGTAAAAATATTCTTCTGTTTACTCTTTGGCTAAAACCCCCTCAAAAGTAGCAGACAAAGAAAAAACATCTAATACTGGCAAGAGACTGACTTTATTTTCCCTAAAAACAAATTAAATAAACTTACCAATTTAAAACTTGGTACATTTTATAAAAACAAAAAGAGGTAATGTTGTAATAAAATCAGTAATGTTACTTCAAATGGCAACAAACTGTTTGTTGACCCTGTGCAATAATACACTTTGTTCATACTACATTTATCAAAATATGACTGTTTCTACAGATATGAGGAATCTTGTGTGACTCCTGTCAACTTAGTTTATAACTGGGACACAAAATTTACAATCAGTGTGCCACAATAACTTTCAAATTGTTATTTCTAGTAGAGTTAATTTCAAAACGTTCAGATCCTGCATTATTTTTTAACAGTTAATGCACATGGAAAATAATGGAATATATTACCTAGAGCACATGAACATCAATGACTGCACCCATTGCCAGAACACGCTGCACTGGTTTGACTCTTCCTTAGTACATAGAAAGCAACAGCACCCAATAAGCCTGAGAAGAAATGCTGCTGTGTAAATACTGGCAACTATTCCTGAAAAAAGTATTATGGGATGTATTCTCAGAAGCTGCCCGATCCCATAATTTGTATTGCATAGGTCACAATCACACATATATATACACGCACAAGTATGTGTGTGCATATATACATATGTATATACGCACACACATGCGCACACGCACACACACAAAGAATATATTAAGAAGACAATGAAGTCTGGTCACAGAGCAATTTACAGGCTCAATATATTTTTTCTTTTTTTTTTTTTTTTTTACACTTTGTTTGAAAGAAAACTTCAGTATTTTACAGTCTTCAGTAGGCATTATATACACTGCACTTATGAAATCTAGAAAGTATTGAAATAGAAATACATTTCTGCAAACATTTGGGTAAGAAAACAAACCAAAATTTTTCAAAGATTTGTGCTATCTACATAATATTTTCTCTAAATCACAATAACTGTATCCATGGAATGTTCTCTAGAAAATGTCTTTTTTTTTTTTTTTAAAACACCATGCACATTTATAAGCAATTGTAACCCAAAATATCCCAACCTAAAACAATCTAACAATGTTCAGATTAAAAAATTTAAGTTTCAGATCAGATTTTAAAAAGATAAGTCTTTATCACAAGAGCTGTAATGATAACAATTACATGTTAAGGCTAAACTGGTTTTGTTTTGTTTTTAGAAACACATTTAAAGACACGTTTCTCTCGTGGCTCTGCATTATGAACTGTACTTACAGATGACAGTGCAGTGAACATAATGTTCAGTCCTACAGTCAGGATGCAGTCGCTCCTTCCCACTCCACAAGATACTGCACCTTTCCATCAAGTGTCACCCGACGAGCCAAAACACGGTATTTTTCCCCACAAGCTATTCTACCTGCTGCACCAAAATAACTAGTAATCGAGTTCTTTAGATGATTGAGCTGTAACTCCTGATCTGCTAAGTTGTTAAGTATCTCTGTATTGAGTTCATCATACTGGTAATCTTCCTTGCTCTCATCATCTTTTACAATTTCTGAATTTTGAGTCTGGAGTGCTTTTCGTGGAAAGCGACCTCTTCTTCTCAAATGTGGTATTGCAGCAGGCCAAGTTCTTCCTGTACGAGTCCTTTTTCTCGAGTCAGATAAACTATTAAAAAAACCAAACAAACAGCATTAACTCCAAGGAACTTGTTCAAAATGTATGCTTTATCATCGGTTATTTCCATGCAACTCATATCATAACTTCTTTGCTCTATTTTTCACTGATAAAAACACTTGTTGCCTATAGATAGATGACTATAAACATGGCACTTGCAAAATAAAGATTTCTTACATAAGGAGAATTGTACTAATTTAACAAAACGTCAGAAAGGTTAGCTAAATGATATTAACTTATGCCTAGGTATGTTAAGAGCACTATTTTGATACAGCTTAATCCCATTCTTAAGCAAATAAAAACTGTCTTCAGAGAAGTCTGCACCAAATGTACTTAAATTTGCAAATTAAAAATACAGCTTTATCACACAGGTAGGCCTCAATTACAAAAGCTATACTATAAGAGTTTGAGATTTGATGTTAGTTAAGACTGTAAATGAGAAATGAATTTATGCATAGTTTTTTTCAAGCTGAATTTATCTCAATAAATTAAAACTCTGAAATATGAAAGAAGATACTGCAAAATCTATTCTACATCACTACTTTCTATAGAACACACGACTTTTCTAAAGATGTATTGTATGTGGCCAGAAAAATATGTATATCCAAAACTCTCAGATTTGTATCTGTTAATGAAAAAAGAAGGTTTGACATTATCCAAGAATAAACCATCATCCAAATATTAAGTATCCAAGATATAAATCCTTATGTAAAAACCTACATCTATAATTTGCACATATTAAAACATGTTTGGTAAAGTCCTAAATTAAATGGTATGTGAACTTTGATGTTCAAGACTCCTATGTAACAAACTGAGGAAAAAAAGCACATCTTTTTAACATTAAAAAAAGAATGGGATAAAGGGCAGAAATACAAAACAGTGACTTAAGTCCTTAGGCAACAATTTCAGAAGTCTGTAAGTTAAACATGAGTTTTTGAAGACAGACTATTTGTAGCAGTAATGCACACAAAAATGACTCATGAAAGCACTTGATAGCATGAACCAGAAAGAGAGGAGACAAAAATAAGTAGACTGAGGATCCATGTACCTCAATAAAAGACAAATTTATGTTTGCTGAACTTGAGAGGGGGAAAAGTTCAAGTAACAATTTATTTGCAGAAAAGTTGATTGTAGTTAATAATTTATTTATGAAGACTGTGCCAAAAATTTTTCATGCTCTATTGACTGTAGAAAATCACAGCATACTTACTATTCTTTAACATGAATACACAAACCTACAAAAACAAAAGCTGCTAAAATTAATTCAGGGTACACATCAGGTCTTTTGTGGCCTTTATTAGAAAACTAAGCTCAGGAAGTGTTTATGCAGTTTTATTCTTTTCAGTAAATGTAATTTAACTACGTATTTACATCAACAAAGAGTAGTTAGTGAGCACAAAAAAACCCTCACCTTGCGTGTTGTAAGCAGAATCAATAAAGACTAGTTTTCTTCTGTCCTATTTCTTTAGATTTCCCCATGCAATTTATAGTTCTACTCTGAGTCGCAGTTGCTCATTACTCCAAATCCCAGTGAATTACACATCCTCAGTGTTATACCCCTTTGCAATATCCTCAGTTCTTCTCTATTTATTCTCCCACCAATTCTGCAATACCCTTACCTCCATTTCACATCTACTATGGCTGCCTCACAACTTAAGTCAACCTCCTACCTTATCTTCTACCTTTGTGTTGCCAAAGCTTCAACTAAAAAAGAACCACAACAAAACAGCACTGGCAATGACTAGGCCACAGACGATTAGAAAATTGTCTGCCTTTCTGTAAGTGTGGGTTGCTGGTTTGGGTCTCTCTCATCCAAGCATCTATCTTCATTAATCTTGTTAGACTGTAATTTCTTTGGAACTACCTGAATCAGATTTCATGGAAGTTAGCCAAAAGGTTCAGAACTGACTGGAAGTACAACAGAACCTCAGGTTTTAAGAAACCAGACTTAGAACACTAGACGTCATGCTTTGGCAAGATATCTCTTGTAGGATCCTTGCAACTTCTGTTTATTAAGGGTGAAGTATTGCTGAACCAATTGTTTCCCATCCCTCCTTTCAGAAAATTTTATTAAAATTAATATATTGCAAATCTTAATCTTTATACCAGATAGAGTAATTGAATAATTACCTATAATGTCTGGAAATGCTAGATGAGGTAGTTTCTTTCATACTGGCAGCACCTGTGGATTCCACATCTGAGGTATTGGATGAATGTGCAGTTCCATCAGATTTCCTGATGTGCAAGATAACAGGGTTGCCATGTAATGAAAATAATCTTGTATTAAAAAATAAGCTAACATTTCAGAAGCAGATAAATGACACGGTATTACAGTATTTTACAGGGATTTTTTTTAAGATTTCTTTTTTTTAATTTACCCAACAGTGCAGGGTAATTCCAAGGCTGGGTTCTCTATCACTGGAACTGGTTCATTATCCTAAGGAAGAAGGGGAAAAAAAAAAAAAAATTACTTCAAATTAAGTTTTAATTGCTGTATAAATTTTGTTTGAGGGTGAATGGGGGAACATCATGATTCAGATTAACTGGTTATGTTTTTCTTCAAAAGTGATAATCCAGTTAGAGGGAAAAGGAGGTGGGGGGGAAATATCCAAAACCTTACCAGAGGAGACGACTCTGGAGTTTTGTGAATCATTTTTCTTGTATAGGGACCAGGTGGACGACCTACTGATTTTTTTTTCCCCTTTCTTTCTATACCATTACTTAATTCCATAGAAGAAAATTTATATTTTGTTCTGTATTATTGAAGATAATTTTCATTGAATACATGTTTTCCTTTGGCAATGAATATACGATTAGATGTCATTGCTAAAACATTGCGCTAAATGAGGTTATTCTGGTAAATCAAAATTGTCAGGTAAAGTTATATATTTTTGCCTCTAGCATAGCAAACAGATAGAAGATCTTTCTAGTGACATTACTGATTCCCTAACATTGAAGAGGAATGAACAAGTGTTAAATGTTGTTTATTCATATGATCACACTTGGTAAAACATGGCACATTTACTAATACAAGTTACAACTTCACGTCATACTTCCTATTTAGAATTCTAGTTAGATTATTGCATAAGAGCACCAAAAAGGCAAGAGATTTTGTTTCCCAAATGGCAGCAAAGTTGGAATATTTTCTATTGTTCTTACTGCTAAATTTGATGGGGTTTTTTTTTGAAGGATCCTAAATAGAAAGCTAATTAAATTCATTCAAAGACCTTGTTCTCACAAATAGTCCACCTTTACAGTTATTTAAAAAAAATACATTATACAATGAAAAGGCCTGTTTTGTAGGCACCAAAAATATACCTAAAGTAGCCCTGATTTACCACAACATTGCTAGAATGACTGGGTTACTTTACCTCACATCAGGGATTGGTTTAGATGACTTTCTGCCTTTAATTTTGAACTCATGCGAAGTTCCTTCTGGTTCTTTCTCAGCCTTTAAAGCAGCATTTGGTGGCACAGGAGGAACACGAATTCTCAAGCCAAACAAATGCTTCTTTTTCTTTATTTCTTTTCCAGACATAAACCTAGATGATTTTAAATTAATTGTTAAAATTCTGACCCCAGGGAAAGCAACTTTTAAAATCACAGTGTACATGCAGAACAAAACTATGCAAATCAGAATATTCGTTCTAATGCTGTTTTATTCCCTTCTTTCTCCTAACACAATCCTCACTCTCAAATACAGAATGTAAAGTGGATAGAGGATGAAAGTTAAAACAATTTTTTTCTCATGATCTGGGTTCCACACAAATAGTTATGCAATGTTATAGTTTGAGATAGAAACAGTATTTAAAATTTAAGTGTTATTTCCAGCCAAAGTGATTATCAGATAGTCTTCAGTCTCCTTTGCTCAGTCTGTAATCTACATCAGATTAAATAGGCAAACAACATTTAAAACAAAAAGTATCAGTAACTTACATGGTCTTGTAATCATTTAATGCCTCCAGTACATGCTCATATCTTTCAGATTTTGGTGTATCTGCCAGCTGTGAAGTATTAAGAAATCATTTAACTTGTTGAATTCTTTAGTAATAGAAAGATTCCAGTTACTTTGAGCTACTGTAACTACAGATTTAGATGTGAAGTACATTTATGAAGTATTAGGTGTGGAAACTACCTAACCCCAAAGGATATTAATCATTATCCCATATATTCTGTGATTTACATCCACAGAATTCATGCCAGGATCAAGCCCAGGCCAAAGAATTTGAGTTTCACTTGTAAGAAGTGCAAGAAAAATATCTCAAAGAATTTTACTATACTCAACATAATAGTAGCTTGCCCTCCCAAGACTGCTAACAAGAATTCTTCTGTGGCATTATGTACTCCCAAATTAATTGAGATTGCAAGCAGAAGGTAATTATATTGACACAAGAACTTAGTTATTTTATTGGTGATCATTTTAACCAAAATCCTGCCACAGGACCTAATTCCCATTTTTGCCAACATTACTCAACATGATATAAAAAAATGGAAGAGGCCCAGAAAAGTTATTTGAGCTTTAAAATAAAAAAAAAAAAGTAAATCCATTTTCATGCCCCATTTGCTAAGACCCAGTCTAACCACCCTTCTTGCACCAAAGCCTGAAGTAGCTAGTCCCTATCAAGCTACCAAAACATGGAATCTTCTCTCTGAAAAATTGCACTTATGAATTAGAGACATAAAGCAGAATAAGTATGGCGGTGACTATGAAGAAGTGGACACAACATTTATGTAATAGAATTTTAAATAAGATTATTTTTATATTTAAAATAAGATTATTTTTATATTTAGACAGCTATTTTTAAATTCCAGTTGCCATGCCAAAATGTTCCAGAACGTATATCCAATTGTCTCTGCAGTAAATTTATCTTTACAGAGTTGACAGTTTATAAGTTTCACTATTAGTATGAATACTACAGAGCAGACTGTACAACATTTGCAGCTCAAAAAAACCCCAAACCACCTTCAAATACTTTCTAAAGAATACAATTCTGACTAAACAGGATGGATAGAAATGCTCAAAGGATTAAATGTGCTAACAGCTAAATAAATGAGTAAATATACTCAAAACCCAACCTTTTAATACAATTTTGGGCAAGCTTCATAGTCAGTCTACCTGCCTACCAAAGTTAAAGGACATATTCAACCAATTTTAGCCAAAGAAAGTCACAACTGTTTTTATACATCTTTACCATATGCATTCAGTACAATCCATTGCTATCCAGAGGTCTTGCAACTCCGCAGCACTTAACTATAGAAAACTGCCATATATTATTGCATCCTAAATAATAACATGCTAACAATTACTGGCTTAGGAGGTGTGGATAATTCACCATTTACTCCTATCGCACCTATGGCTAAAAAAACCTTTTCCTCTTATTCAATTATGAGCAGCTAGAAAAAGTAAACCAAAGTGTCATTTTTAACAGCTAAGAATATTACAAAAATCATAAAATCATTATATTGTACATGTTATTCTTTCTGTAACTAATTTCTGTTTAATAAAGAAACCAGACTAACTAAAGTAGTAAAATACATTTGCCTCATTTTTCAAGACACAATTTTTCCCAACTTAGCGAGAGACATTTAGAACCTTTTCAGAATAAAGTCTTGAAAATTTCCTCAACATAGCTTTTATGCATTTATTCAAAATCTACCCCTTCAAAAATGTAGTCTTCAGACTTAAAAGAAGTAGTTTCCTTGAAGGTGTAGAAATATTAAGGAATTGAAAGTACCACTTAAAGAGGTTTTGGATCTCCCCTCTCCTTCCTCCCCCTTAGTTATGCGTTTTTCACATAGATTGAGCATGGATGGATTGAAAGCGGAAAGGAGGAAGAGCACAATAAGGACTGTAGCCTTTCAACTTCTTCAAAATGGCATGTGTGCTCCAAGTCAATGGCAGCTAGATAGCTCCACTCTCCTCATCCACACCACAGCCGCTCTGACCGGCCATTCTGATATGAAATTATGTTAAATCTAAAGAAAATTATATTATGTGAAGTAAACAAACATTAATTTCTTTTACATTTCCCTCAATACTAAGAAAAACAAAAGTAAAAATTAAACACCATTTACGTATTTGTTAAACTGCAGTAAGACAGCCAGAACATTTCATTCTATTGAAAAGATGGTGTGAGAATCACCATATTTGTGCAGCCTTTTTTTTTTTTTTTACTTAAAGCTTAAGACTTGATATGACAGAATCATTGACTTGATATGACTTAGCTAAGAGATACCGTACATCCCAAAGTAAACAAGATGTCTATTCATAATAACACTAATCATCATTTTTAGTAATGCTGGAGTGTTTGCTTGTCTTTCTATTGACACTCATAGTCTAAACATATGTACGTTAAACTATTTTCCATTATTTATGGAAAGTAGTTACTCATTTAAACCAAGAACATACATTTGATTCTCAAATTATGTCTGCTAGTAAAAATGGATTAAGATGTATGAATTTACTGAAAAGAAGTATAAAAGTAGGATGTGCTCATGGTAAGAAAGTTTCAAACCAGTTATATGCCACCTGTACTAAAAAGCTTCAAAACCCTAAACAATTCTCATGCACGAAAGAAGCGCATACTCTACTAGCAGTATGCCAATTTGAATTTAGACATAAGTTTTGCATCCAACCTTACATGCAGAAACAAATATCTACACTGTTCCTCTCAGTTAAATATGAAGTCAGCCTGCTTGGAGAAATGGATTTCCTTTAACAGCTGGAAAAACAACTAGTATAGTAGTGAACTAAAACCAAGATGCCTTGACAAGTAGCAGAATCAGACTGGAAAAGGATCAAAACAATCTTTAGACCTGGACACAAACTGATCACCCCCAAGTTTAGAAGAGGGAGGAAAGAGGAAATGTTTGCGTACAATAATTCGTTATGTGTTACACCTTAGAGACTTTGAAGATGTCTTCATATGCAATACACTCTGTATTCAGTTCTACATTTAGATTTTCTCGTCTGTGCACATGAAAATATCAAAGAACTATGAAGCAATTATAAAATGAAAGAAAAGCAATATACATATATGCAACAGAATAAATAGTTGAGTATAAATAAAGTTGCCATGCAAATAATAAAATAATAGTTACATGGACCACTTGAGAAATTTTACAGCTCAGAAAAACATTATACCACTTTAAAAGTATTCTATTTCTGCAAGGAAATTAAAGATGGTCTCCTCATTATTTGGGATTATCAGATTTTAAGGTAATAAAGAATTTAACACCCAGAAATAAAACAGTTCATAAGTCACTAACTTTCAGGACATATGCATGCACTGTGAGGAAAAACAAGAAAGTATACCAATTACTTACCTCACCAGGATGCAATCTATCCCAGTTTTCATTAATGTAGGCCATGAGTTCAAGCTCCGAATCAAAGTATTTCTTCTTATGAATAACACTTAGGTTGTAAAGGCATAGATGTGCTATATCTACCCTAGAATTCAGAAATATTTGAATTAAAAAAAAGTCTTTTTCTTCCAATTGCTTTTCTTTGAAATAATTTATGAGAAAAGATATTAGCACGATATAGTTAGAGGAACACATAATACAACTTAAAACACTCGATCCAGAGAACATCATGAAGTCTCCTGTCATTTCTCTTCCTCAAGTGATTCCTTCTGCTTTGAATCTTACTTTCATCTCTGCCTCATCTCATTGTCATGATGTTCTTTTAAACTCCAAAACTGGTCTAAACCATGGGATATTTAACTAAGTCCTATCAATTCTGAATTCATGCAAGTATTTTGGTGAATTAACATTTAACAAGGTAATTTCCACCATATACTTGTTAGCACATATATACACTGAATTGGATGTAACTTCTAATACAGGTTAGTTCAAAGATTTCAAACTACAACCAACCATTAAGTTTCATCAAGGAAACTATTATAAAATGTGTCAAGATGTGTACTCTAGTACTCACTACATTTGGCTTATCTAATGGCAGGATCCTAAACCTGCAAAAAAGACTTTGTTCGGATATCTCAATCTTCACATATACAACAGGTGAGTAGTTGCTTGCTACTTCACTGAACAATCCCAGGAATAAATCCCAAGAGCATACAATTGCAATATATCTCTACATTTAAGAATAAACGTTGAAGGCAAAGTTGTCCCTGTTCATACAAGCAGTAAGAACAACTCGGGAAACAACTCAAGACAGCAAGTGGATTTCCTTTTTTGCAAGGAGAATCAAAATACCAAAAAGAAAAGAAAAGCATGTATTCAACTCACACACACACCCCTTTTTTTTAATTCATACTTACCATCTCAAGGGTAAACGTTTGAGGTATTCTGGTCCAGAACTGCAAACTGAGCAAATGAACGTATAAAACCTAAAAATATATACATACGTGTATGTACATGTGTCTGGGTGGTGGGTGTCTGTATACACACACACACACTTTCTCAATGTTTTAACACTCTAGTTATGAAAAAATGAAAGTTAAGCAGGCTAGAAACCCAGCCATATGATATTTGAAAGCCCCTTTGCTCTCCAGCTTCCTTTATCAACTTCCACAATCTGTGCTGGTACCTACCGGGCCAGATACAAGGTACTTCTTCAATCTTACCCTGGTACCACTGTTTCATACTCCCTAAGAAAGTCCCTCAACCTATGACTGTATCAGTGAAGATGCTCTGTAATGTCCCCACTCCGTTTGCTCAAATGCAGAAACCTGTGCACCAGTGTAAGCATGCACTTAAAGGACCCATGCATTCCTGGGTCCTAACTCAGTTCCTTCATACAAACATTCCAGCACAACCAACAGCTAAAAGAAAGTATAATAGATAATGAATGAGATACTCCTCGATTCCCTTCTCCAGCTTTCTCATCTGCTCCAACTGCTCCAAGCACCTCTTAAAAATGAAAGTGCAGACCAGCGCTCTTTTTCATTTCCTTTTGTCCCGACTCACCACACATGAATGGAGGATGTACAGAGTTCCCCTCAGTCTAACTATCCTTCCAGCTTTCTTCAGTTCCCTATACTGTTAGTACAGGGAACTACTACTGCACACACATACCCTGACAACCTATGTTGAAGCATGGTGCCTGTTGCATACAAGAGATTAGTCACCTACACTGTGAACTTGAAAGCCCTTATCTAACTTAGAGGCCCACTAAAGTGGTCTGCTTTAAAGCTTCCAATCTCCCAGTAGCCAGGACCTATAGCATAATGGACTTCCACACAAAGTGAAGTCAGTAACAGTCTGAATTTAACTATCCATTGGTTACCTCTCCACCACCCCACCATCCTTCATTGAATTGAGATGAAGAACTGCATTTTCCTGGCACCTGATCACATGCTTTATTTTGTATAGTCTTCTACACAAAACTCACAACAGTATTTTCCCAAAATGGGGTATTAAAGATGCTTTAATAAAAGCTCACATGTGAGATTCCCTCCACGTTTTAAATAAAGACAACCATAAAGTACAGCTTAAGTTTCTTACCTGTCACCAAAAAGCATTGGCTTTTGGAGGCACTGCACGCAAGCCTCATGAAACCACTGCTTACATTTGCAGCACTGCAACATCTTTAGATACCAGCTTCACCAACAGAAAGAAAAACAAGATGTTAAAGAAGTTACTGAAAATTGTTTTTCATTACGTCTAAATTAAATAGCAAGGGATCTTCTGACCCAAACTGATTTTCACAGTTTTTAAAACAAACAGTCATCTGTAGGGATACTTCAGTAACACTGAGTTGCATAACGAATCTTTACTAGAAAAGAGTGACTAAGAATAATAAAAGATAGTCTAGTAAAAGGATGAATGAAGTTATTAAATGAAGAAAATAAAAATTTAATTTCCTCTGACAACCACCTTTTAATTCTCAACAGCAAGAATTCAGTAACTCCATATAAGCTCCTTCTCACATACCAGATTAGCTTCCTTGTTATTTTCCAAAGCACAGCACAGCCGCATTAAGTCACAAACATTTGTTCTGAGGATTCAACTACCTGAATCCTCAAAATGAACCTCATAGTTTACACTTCCCCACCCCCCTTTTTCCGCTTATCCCTTGAGAAAAGGAACCATGCAAAATTGAAGGCAATGTTTATCCAACTCTGCAAAGTTCTCAAACCAGAGCTCTGTCCTGTGAGTATAAACTCATAAGCTTCGCTTCTTTGTGGAACTCTTGATTTGCCTTGACTTCAAGTCTTCAGTGCTATTTTATTCATTCATTCATCCATGCAGTCACCAGAGTATTTATCTCTACCTGCTTAAGAAGTCCTGTTCTTTCCTTTTTTGTAAGAAAGGACCAGCAGAGGACTCTAATGCCATAAGAGGAAAAAAAGTCTTTCCACCACCAATAACTGCAATCCAGGGTATGATGTTATGGTAGAATCAGACAGCTGTCTATTCCAACAAAATTTAATAAACTAATCTCTAGATATATTTATATTTGTGACTAATGACAGCTGAGTTAACATCAGAAAAACACTGCCTAGAATTGCCAGAAGATCAAACAACTCCATCCAATCTCAACACATTAACAGTAGCAATGCAAAATAATACATTCTTGCTTGTTGTAGAATGGACTGTTATGTGATGATCACATGACAAAATTAAAACAAAGCAAAAGATCTGATGGGAGAAGGAAAGCCATTAATAATGTATTTCCCACGAGACATTAAAAAACATATAAAATTCAAAATTCCACTTTGCATTGAGTTTAATACCTATGCACAACAGAAACTAACAAGTTCACAAGTAAAAGTCTCCAGGATCAGGGCCAAAGTTTGCAGCTGCATTAGGAAGAAGAGTTCTTATGTATTATTTGTTTACTTACTCTCCAGGTCCTCCACAATAGCAGTAACACTGCTGGACATTGGTTTTATGACCTGCATCCCACTCAAGGTCTGTTGCATTATATGGTAATGTTTGTTTCATGACTTGCAGTGCTTTGGCATTTGGTCCTTTCTTAAGCGCACCACCCCTCTGGGCCAAAACAAATACATTAGTTTACAAAAACAGTAATGCATTTCTGAAACTTTCAAATCCTTTAACTTGAAAGTTATGAATATTTCTCTATAATCAAGTAGAATACTTTCACCTGTATTTATGTTTTAATACTAGCATATTTGTTTAAAAATAAATTGAAAGCCAAATGTCATCTATTTCAAAAATCAATTCCCAACATATAAAACTTCCATTCAGATCAAAGTTAACAAGAAATCACTGAAAAAAGAAAATGCTATTTATTTTTTTGTTTCAACTTCAAAAACAAAGTATGCATGCAATATGGGATGTATTAAGAAATGTTTTTCTGGAAACATACCTTTGTTGTTGTTGCAAAAACACACTGTCGACAGAGCCATTTATCATCTGAATCAATCACGCTTGAATCAATATTTGGTGTGTGACACAGCTGATGATAACCTGTATAAAAAATGATCAACCAAAGCGTTATTAAAATGGCAAAAGAAGCTTACACAGAATTAACTATATATAATTTTAATGCAGCTATAAGGCATTATCCATCATTAAGTGCCAAAAATCTGATCAAAAAGATTGGTACCACATTCGAAAGTCTTAAATTTTCTTAGTGGAAAAAATAAACTTTACTTACAGAACAGGGGTTAGTCACTTTAAGATGGATTATCATTATTCACTGAGCTCTTAATAGCCACTAAGGGCTATAAAATCTAAGATCAGCTGAGCAGTCAGTCATAGCCAGGCAAACATTCTCCTTCATAAAACAAATCAAAACGTCTTTTAAAGTGCAGTAAATAGAAAAAATCTTGTTACCTTGCCCACATTTATCACATATAACCATTTCATTCGGTGCTTCTGAATACTCTTCCTGACATATTGTACAGACCATTTCCCCACTTTCAGTGGCTCCTAGACAAAGATGAAAGTGTGATTTTTTTTTTTTTTTTCAGATTACATCTGCAGTTGGAATGGTTACCACGCACATGGCTTTTTTCATAATTTCAGTTACAGATCCATGCATTGTAGAAACATACTGTTACAGAGCCTAACTTCCTAACAAAAATAAAGTCAGACATTTTGTACAGACTGTATGTGTTACAAATATTTATATCACTTATCATAGGCTATTGGATATTTATAGACTATATATTGCCTATTTACTGTGCAGTCGATGGTTCCTTAATATCAACAATAAAAATTAAATAACTGAATAAAGAATGTAAATGCAGGCTGAGAAATATGTATAAAAATCCTATCTGGACAACTGATAGATACGTTTTGTATTTACAGTAGTTTGTGCTTCTTTTCATGTAAATATATGCACAATTTGGTGCATATCTTTTTGACAGATCTGCCCAAGGTGCTTTAATATTAAACTCCAACACTCTTCTGAAATATGTTATTACTTCTTAAAAATATCTGCAAGCATACAAAAGCACACAGTAACAGTAGAAGTAAGAAAAAAGCTAGTTTGCAAACTGGAAGCAAAACTACATCTTGCTCCAATTATACCACGTCAACGCAAAAATCTGAACTAAAGTACAAGTTACTTAATCTACATGTTATCACACATGCATTAAAGTTTAACAGTTATGATAAATGAATCAAAGATCATAAACTAGTACTATACAGAAGCACAACAGCAGTATTTTAAAAGCTTCTCAGAAATAAAGCAGTTGATTTTTTTTGCTATTATGAATACAAAGCTTCTCCTATTAGCAGATAAAGTGTTTAGTTTAAACACCAAGAATCAGCAAGCGCCAGACCAGATTTCCATTGCCTTTATACGATGAGGAAATTGTAAGTGATTTTCGGAAGAAATTGTCACTGAAATTGTCATCTGTGCTTCGTTAGCGTTACATTATCAAGATACTAGTTACTCCCCAAATATCTGAAAAATCAAAGCTAATATACAATAGATGTTTCACTTGATAATTGCACATTTCTTTATATCACATGAATACTCCAAAATCTGTAATGGTTTCTTATGTACAACAGTTATGGTGTTACTTTTAACTGTGAAAACTCCATTCAAACCTAGGATTTTCCAGTCTTTGGTTTCTTTCCACGTCATGTTGTTTCAACTGAAAACAATAGGAGGACATAAACTCGGTGTAAATTAGGGCCTGGAGTTTTCTGTTAAGACAGAGTATTATACTCTATCCCCATCCAAATAAACTCAAGTGTGATTATTTTTAGAAGTGTTCTCCCCTCCCTGCACATAGTTATGTGAAAACAAAAAAACAAAACACAAAAGTAACTGCAATGATAAAGAGTTGTTTGAAAATATTTTTTTTCTTTCTTTTCTTTTTTTTTTTTTTTTTTTTTTTTTTCAATTTGCCTAATTCATGATCCTGGGTCACATTAAAATATATCACTCTTTAGGATACAAGAATATAATGTAATAATTTATTGTAACAGATATAGTAATCTAAACAAATAAAATACCAGACAATAACTACTTCACTGAAGTTCTTGCCTGTTTGTATGTCCTTCCAGAGAACCCAGGATTTGGAACTGTCTTCAAATATAATGAAGCAGTTCTGTTTCAGTTTGTTTATCTAAAAAACAAAAATACAGTGGAAGCCATGAGTAAAAGGACTAAACAGAAGAATTTATTTGATACTGAGACAGTAATATTGTAATATTTAACCAACATGTGATGCTGTAAGACTCCAGTGAAGTTAAATTGTTTACCTTTTTGATAGTTCCAAGATAAAACAAGCCATCTGACCATCTAGCTAGGACATCCTGACCTTCTTCAAATTTACACAGTGGCTTTTTGGCTTTCTGTCCATCACGTAACGACAGCTTGGTCAGAGATGCTGAGGTCTTATGGCTTCGACGTAGAGGAGACCGCTTATGGACCAGTGAATTACCCACCGCTGTAGAGTCTCTAAAGAAAAGAAAGCAAGAGAAAAGGTGAGCAGAATGAATTTAAAGTAAGAAACCATATACTTTAAATATTAATATGATTCACAGCTAGAACTCACTTAGCTAACTCCAGAACTTCAGGTAACTAAAAACCTGGTCATGTTTTCAGACTTTACACACCTTTAGTAGCAGTGCCTCTGCTACTATAAGAGTCTACAAAATTTGAAAGAGAAGTTTGTATAAAGAAAAGTTTTCTACGAAATCAACTAATGTAAATGAGAATGGGGAGACACAAACTTTCCAGCTCAGAGACTCTTCATAAAATAACCAGAAGCATCAAAGAATGCATCAAAAACATTCAATACAGGATTACTTATGCAAAACGTCAGTCACTCAAGTCACTGACAGTTTTCTAAAATTCTAAGGAAGCTAAAAAGGTCCTAAGCCATTTCTAACTACATTACCTTGGTAGGGAGAGTAACAATCGACAATTAAACATGGTAATCAGCAGTTAGTTTCTCAGAATTTAAAAAAAAAAAAAAAAAAAAGAAAGAAAAAAACCACACACAAATGTTACATAGGGGGAGGAAAAAAGAAAGAAACCAGGTTCAGCACCATGCTAACTCAAGGTCTATACTAACTCAGGTACCTCCAACACAGCATCATGCTTTGCCACTAAGCATAGCTATAGAGGTTTCCAGCACAGGAAGAATTTCTACATGTTAAGTTTCTAATGTAAAATAAGTTTTCCTCTCTGTTAGAATCAGAGAGGAAAAGAATAAGGAAGGTTGCAAGAACTTTTGTTTTTCCTTTCTTCACACATGAAACTCAAAATTATAAGTTACTTGAATCAATAATCATTTTTTCTTCATACAATATTCCAAATATATATAAATATAGCCTATTTATATATAGAAGTATATGTAAGTGTGAATATGCTTTTATGTCAGACTAGCTATCAAACACTACACTCCAAGTAAAGGAATATAGAAAATTATACAATAGGACCAGATAATGCACAAGGAAGAATCTTCATAAGTAACAGGCAGCATTTGAGACTAAAGAGCAAAGTTTCATCTCGCTCAGGATAGCTTAGGTACATTATCAGCACCAGAAACATTTTAATTAATCACAAAGCACCAACAAAACCAGTAAATGAATCGGTGTCCTATATAGCTTGATGAGAATTACTATTCAGATGTTAGAGAAGTTACTCTAAAGTTTCAAAGAGAAGAGAATCCCTTCTCCCTAAGAAGTTTACTGTTTACACTCAATATGAAAATAAAACTAGAATTATAATGGCTTAAAACATCAAAAATATGCAAAAATGCAAAAGTTAATATTCTGGAGAGCAATCAACATTTTTTTTGTACTAAACAGTTTAAACCAAGAAAGTTAGACAGAAGAAAATTAGACAGCTGTTTTAAGCATATTTATAATCAGTGTAAGTCTAAACAATGACATGACAGTAAGAGCAGCCATAATGGGCCAGACAAGTGTTCCACCTAGCCCAATAACTCTGGCACCCTCATGCACAACTGGGTCACCAGTTTAAATCCTGCCTGACCCCAAATACAAAACTATTCAGACAGGTGACCAGGGAAGACCAGAGGAACGGACAAAACAGAATAGCACTCCTCTCCCAAATATTCTCTAGGTCTTCTACAGGCTGTGGATCCAAAGATCTCAAGCACTAGTGTCTTTAGTTTTTTCAGTCCTTAATGGAATTTTCTTCTGCAAGTTTTCCTATATGTTTTGTTGACCCTGTAAAGCAGCACTTCTTTTGGCTTGTTTCACAGCTGGCACCTTGTCACTTCATTTGACACCCTTCATCACTGCATCAGAAAATTAAACTGTCATTTTCCATCTTCTCCCTTCACACCCCAGTAACGATGTTTAGACCCACCCAGCCATATTTCCCAGATAAAGAATCCTACCAATTCTGCTGCTTCTCAGGTGAAAGCTGTTTAGAGTCACCACTGCTTTTCCCCAGTTCTACTCTAACATCTGACAACTGGGACAGGATGCATGCAGCATTTGAAATAAGTTTACAATAACAGGGTAATAGCATGGCAGACCAGGCCATTTTTTATTCTTTGCTCTTTTCCAACTAATAACATTTGTAGCCTTTCCCCCCACCCCACTGCAATCAGGCATTGAGTTAAAAATTTCAAAGAATAGTCTGGAGCAGTTAGAATGAGAACCTGCAGTTTCCAACCATTGTTTCTCTTCCCACTTTTTGCACCAGATTTCATTTGCCACTTCATTATACAGCCACTCAGTAGCTTGAAGTCCTTCCACGCTTTCTACATTATTCTGAATAACCTCATACCCTTAGAATATTTCGTCATTTAAGCTTACCATCTTTTGTACATCACTCCAAGATTTTGCCCCTTATCTTGTACAGTAGCTTAAATTTTTGCAAGGGCCTCTGAAGCAGGGCCCCAACCCTTAACACTTGTTGAAACCACATTCTCCTCTCTCCTTTGTATCTGTACAACCATTTACATACCCAAGTACCAAACAGGCTCAGAAACAAATGTGTCTGAAGTCAGCCAGTCAAGAGAGGAAAAAGAGGTTTTACCTTCATTAGTTCCCCAGACCTTTCTGACTGCTTGCTTTGTGCTAAGTTGGACGTGTGTGCAATGTTCAAAGGCTAGGCAAGGCTTGATCAAAACAGCCTAGAAATAGTTGTGAAACTATGACCTGGTCTCAGCCAATAATTCTTTTCTTGAAAAGGACTCATCATTACAAAGTAAAGTATTTAGATATTTCAAATTACATCTATGAAGTTGATTTAGCATATTAAACATGTCAATAAGTTGCCATCTGTAGTTCGAAGCACCTAGAGCAATTTCACTAGTGCACCTTGAAACAGTTTAACAAGTGTTTTGACAGGACTGCTCTCTTCTAGAGGTTCAAAGATTTTCTTTCCAGCTTTTTATCTGGTTTGATTTAAGAGACTAGAGAAAGCAGCTAAAAGGCAGGAATGGTGGCTCTTCTTTTCCAGTACTTGAAAAAAGGCGTGAAAGATC